TGAGCTGCACACACCTGAGCAGCTGTTGTGTAAAGAAACTCGGCTTCTCGCGTTTTGTCGTCAACCGTACTGCAGATATGTACATTTATATGTGAGCTATGGCTCCAGGTTGGAGATGTTCCACATCACTTCCTGTTGCTGTCACCACTGTCGTATCCACCGTTGTGCATGTGCTGACCGTGCTCTCTCTCGTCTCTCACCCGTCAAACCAGGAGAAGTTCACCCCCGTCAAGTATTTCTCCATCGACCGCGTGTTCAGGAACGAGACCTTAAAAAAACTAAAAACTGTGTTTGTGTGTCTGTCATTCACCGCCCCCATATTGTGGAGTATTGACACATAAAGGTATGTGTCAATCAAGATATGGGCAAGAACAGGGTTAACGATGATCAGGTGAAATATTGTGAGTGTGGTGTTTTTAGTGTATTACTTATGTGGTGTAGAAGATAATTATCTATGTAATAAGATGATGTCATGGGGTAGGACTGGATAAGTCTGACTTCTTCCTACTCCGTTCAAGCATGTACTAGGTATAAGCACATTGATAATATATGTGTGGATATGTGTGTTGACATATTGACTGTTGTTACATGTTTGAAAGAATAAATCAAATCACATAAAAAAGGCCCTTTCTCCTTCTGCTAGTAGCTTTAATCTTGAGGTCAATACATTCGTTGGTCTTTGTCTGTACGTCTACATCTCAGTTTCTGTCTGTGCTTGTATCTCTCTCTGTGTTTGTCTCCATCTTTTGTTTGCATGTTCACATCCGTCTGTGCCTGCCTAGATGTTATTGGTGTAACACAGACAGGGGTCGACGCTGAGGTCAGTAAGTAAAACGTTGTTCAGGATTCTTCTCTTGAGCATCAAGCACAGTGCACGTTGTTTCTTTCCAATAAAGAGTGACCAAACTTCCTTCAAACATCTATTGGTGCATTTCTTTGCTAGAAAGCAAACATGCATCATAAAACTAATCATTTCTTTCATCTTAACTTCTGCTAAGTTTGCCCTCAGTAGAAATACATGATTAAATATTAACATTAGGTTCCTGCTGTTTTGTCACCTGTTTGATTTGTTTTACCGCTGCTGTGTGTACTTGTATTTCCATAAAGCATCAAAGATCAAGACATGTTAATCTTAATGTTTTTTAAAAAAGGTGTTGGTACCAGTGTGCAGAGCTTCTGATGGGACCCCCCCGAGTCGTCAGTCTTAATAACATGGCTGTTGAAGCTTTAACGTGACCTTAAAATTCAGGAGGTTTTCAGTCTCCAGGCATCACAGGTCACCACAAGTTAGAATTATTAAGCCAAAAACAAGTCAACAATGCATGTACGTACGCTGTGGGTGTAAGCCCTCCACCCCACAGTGCTTCAGTGTTACAGACTGTACTGCTGGTTTTCTGTTTGTTCTAAATGTATGGATGGAGAACAGCCCCGAAGCGTCACTCTGTCCTGTAAGGACATAAAATCTGTCTGTTGTGTTGTAGGTCTGAGCTGTGCTGCTGTTGTGCAGTGACAACCATAATGGCATTAATAGTTTTCTAAGTCAAAAGAAAGGGACACGGACCAAGGCGGTTCAATTCAAGCTCCACGTGCCACTAGGTGGTGCTGCAGAGCTGTGTGCTCAGCCTGCCCTGACATGGAGAGGCCACACGGGCCAGGACATCAAGGCTGTGCTATGTGATTGTGAAAACTTTGTTTCTTGAAACATTTGGAGTAAAGTGCAGCTGTTTTGATAATGAACAACATCAGGCGGTTGGTGCATGAACACAAACTCAGAGAATGGTTTGCTACCACTCTTCATTCCTTCAAACCTGAATGTGAAGTTGGATTTGAATGCAGGTGGTTTTGTAGCTCCTGCTCTATGAAACGTCTGCTGACCCAGTGTTTGAGGAAGTCGGACGTTTCAGTTCACAGCTGCCCCCAGTCTGAGAGGGAGGTGTGTAGCTACACAGGCTCTGGTCTGCTGTGCATTTGCTTGTGATAAGATCTTCGTATGTCATCAAGTGTTCCAGTGGTGATCTGAGGGCTCGGTAGGTTTTACAGCGGCAACATCAACGACTACTGCACTGTTTACTCAAGGCGTGATGACATCAGATCCTGTGTACGGGGGGGGGAAGATGAAGGAGGTGTGGTATATATAAAGAAATCTGTGGGAGGATGCTGTACTTGGGACCAGTGCTGGGAGTAGTTTGTAGTAAAGTAGTTCTTCTGTTAGAGGTCACGACCCCGTCTTCACTTACACCAGGACGTACCTGTAAAAGCAGAAGATGATGACATCCCTGTTCTTTTGTTTTGGCAGATTCGTAACCACATTGACTGCAGACATGTGACAGAAAACGCTTTCCTCCAATCTGTTGGTTGACAGCCGCCCCCGCCACACCTCACCTGAATGCGTTGCCCCTGTGGCCGTAGCTGGCAGGTTTTCACCATCTAGCAGCGATTACATTAGCAGGTCCAGATGTTGGCTCAGTTTCTGTAGCCTGTATGTTTTGCGGTACGGTTTTTGATTCCAAATGAGATCTATCACACCCTGTTTGGTTTTAAAAGGTTGGGAAACATTAGCCACAGGCCAACCTCACGTGCACTTCAAGGTTGTATTGTTGTAGGAGTTGACACCACACACACAGCTTTGCCACTACTTGGGCAGACAAACTATTTTCACATCCGATTAAAGAAAAACAAAGAAAATGCTGCTAATGGCAGCAGTAAGCCTTGGACGGAGGGCTTCCTCCTCGTGGCCCTTCCTCCTCGGTGGCCCTTCCTCCTCGGTGGCCCTTCCTCCTCGTGGCCCTTCCTGAAGTTTTCCTCCTCGGGGTGGCCCTTCCTCCTCGTGGCCCTTCCTCCTCGGTGGCCCTTCCTCCTCGTGGCCC